TTTTATTAACAAGATTATCAACGCACAGTGGCAAAGGCTTCCATGATCCTTTATCAATTAATCCATCTACACATTCAGCAAAGCAAATTGATTTTTTAAAAAGGGTGTGCTACTGAGTGGTTCCCTTAAATGTCTTTAGAGATATTTGGGCTATTACAGAAGATCAGTCTATAATTCAAATTAAGCATGGCAGGTAGCAGTTTCAATTTCCTGTCACCATCGGAACTGTCAATTTTCGTGTGCACACATAGACAGAAACCCATCCTCATTTATCTTCCATTTGCAATTAAAAGCTCTGTTTAGCCTAATACTTCTTAATATGATCTTGTGTCCCACGGTGCTATTTCAGAGTAACGACAGTTCAGGATTTATGACTGTGGAGGCCTACGTGGAAATACTTTTAATAGAGAAAAGGCGAGTAAGACAACAAGCATTTATTCAGCAAATGTTCAATCCTTGGATGGGAGCTAAGTGAGTTAGAAAAGTGGGGAAAATATCCCTGGGCTTGAGAAGCTCAGAATTTTGTTCACTATACACTAGGCGATGTGCGAGATGCTTTTCATGTACTTTGCGATAATCTTTACGACAGTTTTTCCTTAAAAAGCAAGATGAGTATTCCTGTCTCCCTTTTGTAGACAAGGAGCCTTGAATGAGAGAAGTTAGATCACTTACCTATGGACACACACCTAGTGAATAGTAGGTTTGGTTTTGAACCTGAGGTCTCTTAGAATCCCAAGCCCACATCCTTTCTCTTGGTGGTTTTCAAACTTCAAGAGTCCCAAGGAATATGGCCAGTTTATATCTCATTTTGCGTGTGTGTGAATCTGGGTACTTTCTACTGACCCGGCTGTCCTGGACTAACATTGCTTTCACCTGTTTTATGTATTAGGCTCTTACGTAAGACTTCATTTGAAGAAAGAGTCTTATGGATGTGTTGCCTTCCGCTATTAAGAATCATTCTAAAAAGGCTACAAACTGTACGATTCCAACCAAATGACATTCTGGACAAGGCATAACTACAGAAACAAAAAAAAGATCGTGGTTTCCAGGTGTTTCGGGAGAGAAAGGAAGGGAGGAATGAATAGATGGAGCACAAGGGATTTTTAGGGAAATGAAATTATTCTGTATGATACTATAGTGATGGCTGCATGTCATTAACCCATAGAATATACAACATCAAGGGTGAACCCTAACGTAAACTATGGACTTTGGTTGATAATAATGTGCCCACGTTGGTACATCGATTGTACCAAATATGCCACACCGATGAGGGATGTTGAGGGTAGGGGCGTATATATTGTGAGTGGGGAGGGCTGTGTGCAAACTCTCTGTATTTTCTGCTCAATTCAGCTGTGAACCTGAAACTGCTCTAAAAAAATAGTCTATTAATAAAAAAAAAATCATTCTAACGAAAGTTCCAGTCAAAGTAGCAAGTATTGGGTTAGCCCTTCCACTGACAGCAATTATAAAAGCTGGAGGAAAATTACACACCTTATATATAAGATGTTATATGCAAGATATATGTATGTGTACTATATGGCTATGTCCATTTGCAGGCACTGGAGAGCAACCAGAGCAGGCAGGAACTAGAAGGAACACAATCCTTGAAGGGCTTGAAAGCACTGAAGTGAGTTTCATCTCATGTACTTACCTCAGCTCTCCCAGCTGACGGCACCATCCAGTTCAGCAAAGCCAAGCAGAAAGTGGCAATGTTACTGGGCCAAAGAGATGGTAGATGGAATTTGAGTCTGCAGGTGAGGATGGAGGGGCAAAATTCTGGGGAAGAGTTAGCTACGATGAGGGTAGTTTAAATTCTTTCCCAGGTCATTGGTTGTCTCCCAAGATTCCCGGAACACACAGAGTGAGACTCCAAGGAGCCCAGGAAAAAGCAGCCTCTGGGAAGAGATTTTGCTGAGCAGAGATCCAGAAGCTTCCCATTGCTGAGGGGACAGAAACCGGGTTTCAAGTTTTCTCAAATTGGAAGAGGGTGGGTAAATGCCTCAGATTTTCTGTCAAAATCCTAGAAGGACCATTCTCCGGGAGAGAAGGCAAAACTGAAATAGACCAGTCCTAAGAAAGTCTTCAAACTAACCCTCAATAGAATCAAGGTGATTTGCTGGATTTCCAAAAACCCCAAAAAACGAAACAATAACAAACTGTTTGGGAGAGAGGTAACATCCCAGAGCTCCACATCAAAACAAATTCACAGTGTCCACCACTTAGATGAGAATCAAAACTCAGCCAAGCAAAGCGATCCACTTTCTCCCACTCCACCCCATCGCCATATTAAAATAGCCCCAACACTGCTGTCCCTGCCTCCGAGAGTCACTCCAGTCTGTCCTATTATGATGCCCATTTTTCTTCATCTTAGATAGAATGATTTTTTCTCAGTTTGAAAATTTTCAGTCTTCTCCCCTCCCCTCCCCCTCCCTCATCCCTCCCCTTCCTTCCCAAACTGGTCCAGAAGCCCTTAGGTGGGGCCGGGTAGCTTGGCCTCTGCACAGGGTGTCTAGGGACCCGGTGCCTGGACAGGTGTGGGTCCTGAGTGCACTGAGGAGGGCACTTGTGTCTGTGTGGGGCCGGGGTATGGGACGGAACCCACATGGTCTGGTGGGAGTGTCCTCCCTCAGAGGGTGGCCAGCAGCGGTGATCTGAGCATGAGCAGGAGGAGGGCGGCCGAGCGTAGATGTTGGAGCCCCAGCAGGGCAAGAGGGGCACCTATGCAGGAGGTGGTTCAGTAGGTTTCAGAGCCCCAGTGGAGTGTGTGTCCACGTGGGACAGAATTTGAGCTGCTTCTCCTTCCTGAGATTCCTAGGTCCAGCCTCACGTCTGCTTTCCCAGTTTTAGCTTATCTAAACCCCCTTGATCTGGGTATCATCCCAGTGACTTCCCAGCCCCCCTCCCACCAACTGTCTCCCACTGAAGCTGGTTGGAGTTGGGCACAAGGCTCCTGCAACCAGAGAGTCCTGGGTGACACACACGGACCACAAGGCCCTAAAAATCAGCCAAAGCAGGTCTGGCACGAGGCCTGGAAGGAACAGCCGGGTGGTGAGGCCGGGCTTCTTTGCGCCAAGACCACCATTCAGCTTTGTCTCCTGCAAGTTGATGGAAAACAGCAGGAAATCACACTCAGACTTCCAGAGGCTTCTCCAGGATACACCTGCAATCTACTTCTCCATTTATAATTACATGTATTAACAAGTTCATGGCGGTGATACATGAAGACGCATATTATGTAATCAGATTGTCTTTGATGGTATAGTTAATGCTAATGTGATGATTATGTGTGAACATTTAAATATATGACACTCATTATCAAAAATTGATTTAAGAACCAGACACCAGTTTTTTTCCCCCTGGATTCTTTTATGTTCTTTGTCTGTATGTTCTTACCAATTCAGTAGGATGGCATGTGTTTAAATTATTCTTTAGTGAAAGGACCTGGCCAGCCTTCTCTTAGCTGTGACAGCCAATTGTTCTCAGTTCTTCTCTGGAATCCCTGGGACAAAAGCTGGTCCATGAGTCCTTTCCCAGTAGAGACCCTACTCCCACTCTTGGAAACTGGAATAAATAAAATTGAAACTCAAAGGGCAGCAGAGGAGGAGAAAGACGAGCTGGGGCGTGAGGAGGTTTGCGTCTGGGGGTCACCTCTAAACACCCGTGTGACCTGGCACAGGCCAGTTGGCCACTCACTTATCAATCTGGGCCTGTAAAATGTCAGGCAATGGAGGACAGATTAAATAAATTATGATGCATACAGTAAAGTACTGTGCAGCTCTTTGAGAGAAGGCAGCTAGGTCTCTGCTTAGGCCATTCCAAGATCTGCTGTTTGAAAAAGTTTTCACATAGATTATTATCCTATTCTTTAAAAAGGTAATTAAAATATGCACATGTGGAGATACAACAAGCTGTGGAGAAATAGGCACCCAAAGATGATTAATTTTTAATTCTGAGAGGTGAGATTATGGAGGACTTTTGCTCCTTAGAGCAAATGTTTCTGTAATATTTTGGACATTTTATAATATGTAAATATTTCTTTTGTAAGCAGGGGGCAAAGAGAAATAAAGATTAACCAGTTAAATAGAGGAAAACCCAGATATTTGCTACCTTCCCTTCACGCTTGAAATAACACTTTTCTAAGGCCATTGTCCTTTCTGCAGTTCTGCTCCACCGTGGGAACTGGGGATAGACTGGATCTTTGAGAATCTTTGAGAAATGTATTAATTTCAGTACAAAATCAGGACTGAAGCAATAAGAATTAAGTGCCGGTGCATGGTTTGTATAAAGCGTACCTGGAAAACACATCAGCTGTGTGGCCGCCTGCGGGGCAGGTGATTTACTGAGACCCTCATTCCTGTGCTGTTCTTGCAGCTTGTAAGCATCAGCGGTGTTTTCCTTCCTCTGTTCTGTGCAAGCCCCAAGCCCTCCCCGGCTGGGGTTCTTGTGCCTGAATTGCCTTGGTGTTTCAGACTCAGAACTGGCACCTGCCAGGCACGTGGGACATAACTCCCGGACCCATCTTGGCTTTGTTTGGGGATCTAGGCTCCCAGAGAAGCTGAGTGATGTTGCAGAGGTGGCTCAGGTCAGACAATGAACTTGGGCTCCTCTGGGACTGGGAAGCGGATGGGTTTGAGTGTGTGTGTGCATGTCTGTGAGCGCGCAGTTCACCAATACTATTGCCCTGAGTTCCACTGACATGGATTAGCCAGATGTGGAGATGGCTGTAGGCTGCTGTGGACAGAGACTACTAAGCTCAAGGTCTGGGGTGCAGAGGGATGGAGGGGCCTCTGGCCGAGCCATCACTCGTGGAGAGGGTGTGGGGGAGCACCTCTGGGCTCACCTGGGCTCCCAGGGCGGGTGACCAGGCCCATGGGAGCAAAGCTTAGCGGAAGGAGCAGTGGTAACAGGGCAACCTCCACACACTAAGGGCGGGCCTTACCCACCTTTTCTGGGCACCACATGACCTCCCAGGTGTCACATGACCTGTATAACCTCCTCTCTTGAAACATGATTGAGATAGAATTTCTAGTTACCTAAGCATGTGAGGGGCTCAGAGCCAGATCTAATTGGATTTTTTTTCCTAAAGGAAGTAACATTTTTTTTCTTTTTTTTTTTTGTCAACTGAACGTTGAGGAGCAAATCTGTAGCCACTCCATGTTTTTCTTGGATTCCCCTGCAAAGACCTCACCGTGTCCTGGACACTTCCTGATCCTCATCTTCTCATGTCAGCCCTCAGCTCTTGCTCAGAATGGCAGCACGGGAACCCAGTCGTTACCTCCCACCCACCCAGCTCACTGCACAGGACACGCGGACAGTAGCAGTCATTGCGGGAGCCACTGCGCTTAACATCAACAACTGGGCCAGTGTTTCCAAAGTGACCGTGATGCATCAAAGCTGAAAGTGGCCCCAGGAAGGAACCCAGCACGCTGGTTTACGGCTCCCACAGTAGGTGCTGCACCCCCCACCTGAGTTTCCCCTGCCCGCTTCCCCCCAACCATAAGTCGTTTGAATGAAAGGCCTGTAACCGCTCCTTTGGGCTTGGTCTGGGGTTTGGCTCCTGTTAGGCACTTAGTAAATGCTAAACAGGGTGAATTGGCTCATGAACGGTCTTCTGCAAGCCTTTGATCAACCCATCGTCACTCAATCAATAAACAACACAGTGAGTCCCTGCCACGTGCCGCTGAGGACCTGCATCACCTGGCGAGCCTGGAGTCGGCCTGGGTACCTCGCCCCAGCCCTCCGTGCAGTCAGCAGCTGTGAGCCTTAGTCTCTCCCCGGACTGTGAAAGGGGAAGGACTGTAGGAGATGGAGGCGGACTCCCGGCTCTCTTTCTACCTGCTTTTCTCATGCCAGTTGAGGAGGAAAGTTTAGATTTCAGTGAAGTTTCCCAGCCTCCACCTGCCACCATCTTCCCTCCCCCCACCCCTTTCAGCTGAAGAGTAGATGGCGCACACCGGCCGCAGAATCTGGGAGCGCTGAGCATGAACACCCAGTGGAGGCTCTGAACGTGATGTGAGCCAGGAGCCACTTGCCCAGATGCCCGATCCCCTCGTTGGTGGTTCACTGTTTCCATCAGGCAGCCTTTCGTGATGCGCAAGCCAGGTGGCAGGTTCGGGTCATCAACAGGCTGAGTGGGACCATTTGGCTGCCATCACCCCTACTGGCCCGCTTTGCAGATCAGGGCGCTGTCATGTCATGGGCAGAGCTTGCAGGAAGAGCTGTTCCCGCCGTGCGGGCTGTGTCTCTTCTCTGGCTGCAGGGCTCCCGGGAAAATGTGCTATGCTGGGCTCGGACTTGGAGGACTGGGGATGCAGAGTGGGAAGCCAGGAACAGGGGAATAGGGTGGGGCGAAAGAGGGTGCTGGGAGATGGTGGGGAGAGTCCGGATGCAGGGAAGATGGAAATCCTAGCAAGTGACGTTGTTACTGCCTGCTGGGCACTCTGCTAATCTTTTATCTCATTTCAGCCTCAGCAAAGCTATGAAGTAGATGCGGGTACCATCTCTTTCCATGATGAGAGAGCTGATGAATGTCACACAGTCTGTGAGTGGTAAGCTGGGGTTTGCGCTTAATTTGATTCCTAGTCTCCAAATAACCTCTAGCTTATCCTCTATTTTAAGGATCACACACCAGAAACAAAATGTTCTAGACACTGGGGCAAAGCCAGCTTCTGATGGGAAATATTTTATATCCTTCTAGCTGAAGAAACTGACCCCAGACTTTTAGGCTGTGCCCACCCTTGAGCCACAGAGGAAATATTTTATGACACTTATTACATGCCAGGATTTGTCACATTTACTGTCTCATTTAATCACAGCAATACTGTAGGATTTGTTTCTCCCATTTCATAGACGACTAAATGGAGGTGCAGAAAAGCTAAATAGCTTGTTCAAGGTCATATAGCTAGTAAGTGATGAAGTTAAGAGTCAATCCCAAATTTGCTTTCCCCTAAACTCAAGCTCTTTCCATTCTAACACTATTTCTGCAAGTGGGTGCTGAGTAACCCTAGTTTCAGGATTTCCCAGTGAAGAATGGTATCCCAGGCAAGTCAGTTTGAGAAGTGTGGCAGACCACCTGCTTCTGTGAGCAATCAATAGTGCATGTCCATGTATTAAAGGCCCTGAGAAGTCCTGCAGTCAGTAAAGCTGTTTTACACTGTTTAACTCTGACCTGCTCTCTCTTAATTGAAGACAAGACTCTTTTCCCCTCATAAAACACACTTTGAGAAAAGTCATCCTGTACTGTTGGGGCCCCCCAAGTCCAAAGAAGCCAAAGTTTACTGTTGAAAGGTTTTTCTCTTCTTCCAGCTTTGGCCTATAAATAAGAACAGCCAACAGTAGCTACTACATTTTAAAATGTGCATACCCTTGATAAAACACTAAAATAGGTACAAAGATACGTGTATGAAGTTCACCGCAGACTTGTTCACTGCAGTTGGAAACAACCTAAATGTGTACCGATGGGGACAGAAAAAAAAGCACACTCTATCCATACCATGCAATGCCGCACAGCCGCTAAAAAGAGCGGGCTAGCTCTGTATGAGTTAATGTGGGTAAGTCTCTGAGATGTATTGCTGAATAAAATAAATTAGAACAATAGATTTAATGTGACCCCATGTATGTGAAATTAAAAGCAACTCTACAGTTTTTACAGAGACCTATATGTATGTTAATGAATAACATAGGGGCTGGAAGGAGACACAAGTTAATGACAGTTTTCACCTCTGGTGTTTGTGGGAGGTCAGCTGGGATCAAGGACACCTATTAGTCAGATCAGGGTAGACTAGACCACTGGCTCTTAAAGTGTGGTCCCAGGGCACTTCAGCATCACCTAGGAACTTGTTAGAAATGCAGATTCTTGGGCTCTCCCCAAGACCTCTGCTTTAGAAACTCTGGGGGTGGGGCCCAGCAATCTATGCTTTAACAAACCTTCCAGGTGATCCTGGTGCATGCCGAAGTTTGAGAATCACTGGGTTAAACCATCCAGTGCTTTCCGACAATAAAGACGAGGAGCGGGCTGGCCCTCTTCCACCTTGTAGCTATGCCATTTGAAATGTGTGGTCTCCGGATGCGCTAAGATTGACGAAGAGAGTCTGGAGTACTTCTGCGTATAGCGCATTGGCCAGAAATAGTCACATGACCCCAACCTAACCGCAAAGTTTGCTGGGAAATGTGGGGGGTGGGGTGGGGCGCATATGGATATTTAGTGAGCGCTCTGTCCCTCAGGATGGTGGTCAAAGAAGACCACAGACTCCTTTGTTGAGCTTTAAATTTTTTTAATAAGAAGCTCAAGTTAATGAATGACCTTTGTGATTTTTGAAAACCAGGGCTGATGAAAAAGTAGAGCCAGCCTGTGGTAGGTGTGCACCTGTATTTGTGTGTGTGTGTGTGTGTGTGTGTGTGTGTGTGTGTCAGGGGAACAGGAGGGTATGTGCATGGAAGGCTGGGTAGCGAGGGAAGGTGTGTCTCAGAGCCAGGAGAGAATGATGATCTTGGATTCTTCTGTTTCCCGTGTATTATCTCATTTAAATTCTCTCACAACCACCCTCTCTGATGGGTACTGCTATAAACCTCATTTTATGAAGGCAGATTCTGAGTCTTAAAAAGGTTCCACGACTTGTCCAAAGTCACAGCTGGCGTAAGGGAAGCACTGAGAACTAAGCCCTGGGTTTTCTAACTCGAAAGCCCTCCCCTTTTTTTCTCAGTGATACCCGCCGCGATTTCTTTAATGGCTTCATCCCCGTGTGGGTGTCTTACATGCGCGCTTGTATGTGTATGTACACAGGCAAATAGCTGGGCTTCTTTCCAGCTTCTGCCCTCGCCCCGCACCCGCTCACCCTCAGAACTCTCACTGCCTCAGTGCCTCACCACATCCCCAGCCCAACACAAATCCAGCTCCAAAACTGTTTGCAAATCCTGTAGATTGTACTACAGGCTTGCAAAGGTGTGCGGAGCAAGCGCTATGGCACGCCACACGGGCAGCCTTCTTTAAAATCCTCTGTAAAGTTTCAGCTGCTTCACCCACTCTTCTCCCTTCTCCATGAACTCTTTTTAACTTCTCCAGCTATTTGGCTCCAGGCTCCAGCCCCCGGCCTCACTGCACTTATCATCTTCACCTGACTTACACAATTCAGAGCAACACAAATGCCTAGCAAAGCCACACTGCTCCCCTGGAGGAGCGGAGCGCCCGGGCGATTGGCTTGTTGCTCGACGAAACAGCCAGGGGACTTCACATCCCATCAAAACCATGGGCAGGCTGAGCACAGTCTTGCAAATTGCTACCCACCCAGTTGTCCTGAGAAAATAATAATTACCTTGACAATGCTCCTGGTTGAAAGGGGGCGGGTAGAGATAGGGGAAACATTTCCATGGAGGAAATAAAGGCATATTTCCACAAGAGGCTGAGTGGGTAGAGCTGGTGCGTGGGAACCCAGTTACCATGGTCTAGGTATTCCAGGGTGTGAATTCTCAGTGAAAAGACACCTTAAATCATGAATGTTTGAAGATAAGAAGTCAAATTCCAACCAGTGTTCCCCCTACCAACCTAAGCTCTTTCAACTGATACGAGAGATGAGGCATCAAAGAAGGCTTCCTTCCTTCCTTTGTACAGAGATGGGTGGGGAGCCTTTCTCGGGCCATGTGATACCAAGAGAGGGAAACAAGAAATGACTGGTGAGGGGCCAGATGAAAGTGCCAGGCATTTGCCACTTTTTCCTGCAGGTGACACCTATTTACAGTAACTCTCGATGCCAACAAAGCCTGCTTTTCCCACCAATGTCCTTGTTATAATGGTGCTGGACAGGGACCTGGAAGACACGGAGGCTGCCTTCTCTCAGGCTGGCAGATGCCTTTCCCCTGGAGCTTCCATGGCAGCTGCCTTCCAGCCTCTGCCAGCAGCACACCAGAGCAGGGATGCCTGGATGTCAGCGACATCATGGCATAGCTGGCATGATGCTGAAAGCCACTTCTGCTTCTCCCCTGGCCCCTCTCCAGGCTGAAGGTGGCCCTTTCACATCAGGAATCACCCACATAAAGTCATCCCTTCCAAGGCTCTGTGTGATGTGCCTCAACCTCTTCCACTCAGAAACCCTGCCCTCCAGAGGGCAGCAGATGTCTCCCAACGTGGTAAATGTCTTTGAGGCCAGCTCTGTTGTCTTTAAAATTTTTAAAAATTTTGCACTCGGCTGGATAATATATATGTGTTAAATTTAAAATGTCTTCAAAATTATTGCAATTTTTCCTCCCAAGTCTTTGAGTAGGATAGGTTGTCCAGAAAACATGCCGTGTTTTTCCTGGGGCTTTACATAGCCCTGGCCCTTCCCTGGGCACACTCTGGGGTACTCAGGCCAACAGATGCCCCCGATCGTTGGCTTGTCAGTCAAACCCTTCTCAAATAGTTTTAATCCACATTTCCTACTTATTCCCTAGGAGGCCCCAGTTGGTACATGCCTTGATTGTCCAGGCAGCTTGTGAAGCTGGGGTCTTGTCTTGTCTGCCATCTGCCTTGCATGGAGTGGTGACCCCTGAAGTGTGGGTGCCTCCAGCCCTTTATGACAGCACAGCTTAATCTCCCAGGGTGCCATACTTAGAATGGCCAGCAGATGGCACCAAGGTGTCTGCTAGAGCTGCCTGGCAGGTTTGGTTTGGATCTGGGTTGATGAAGGAGGGAAACATAGCAGTCAGTGTATGACAGTCCCTCTCCTGGGGCCGCGTTCCCCACTCTCGCGCCCATCAGCCTTCAGGGAGGAGAGTAAGGGGACGTGAAGGAAGCCAGGTGTGGGTTATCCCTCCATGATTTCTGCCTGTGTGGGGATGGAGCAGGATGCTGGCTGATTCAAGTTTCCAGAAGCATCTGAGAATTCCCCTTCTGTATCAGAGACGCTCCAAGCAAGGTAGAGAAGGTGGTTCAGCACAAGGTGTGGGAGAAATTTTTCTATTAAGCAATAGGATACTTATTAAGAGGACTATGGGACTGAAATTAAGAAATGATGATATATTGAAATACTACCATTGTGCCTACCACCACCACCACCCACCACCACCATCACCATCACAACTACATTTCAGAAAGTAACTGTGCTTTCTATCTACACACTGTTCCTGTCCCTTTTCATGTCTTCTCATATCTTTGGGAGTTTTCCAGAAGACCAGAAGAAGAGCGATGGTGTGGGTGCCCCCCATATGAGCAAAAAGGCCCGTCGTGCTTCAGGAGGAGAAGAGAGAGCAGCTAAACGGGATAAAGGCCACACCGGCCCTCCTCATCTAGAGCACTCCAGATGGAGAGTGTTAGGTGACTTGAACATAAAGAATGGACAGCTTTGCTCCTCCTGGGCACGGGGTACCTGGATGACCATGAGCAAGACCTTTGACGTTTTCTCCCTAGTCCTCCATTTGATATTTATGGCAGGAATACAACATTTGAAGCCTCTCAAATGTTCCTAATGATGCCAACGGACATTTAAAGGGGGTCACTATAGCTTCTCCTAGGAATACATAAAAGCCCTGGGCAACCAGGCTTCCCAAGGCATCCGGCACAAGGAAGGTTTTATCTGAACATTAGCAGAAAATGAATGCCAGGCCCTTTATTGGGCAAAGACCAATGTGCCTCCAGGCCGTGCCTGCCCTCAGGCCTCTGAACATTCCAAATGGGGAAACATCCCAGGCTCAGCAAAGAAGCTGGCACTCCTTGTTCAGAAGGCCAGGTTTCTCCGGGGAAAACTTGTAGAAAGGAGAATTTTTTTACCCCCATCCTCTGCTGGTGTGGGTGGCTGGAGGCCTGCCTTTACTGAATGTCTTGTATGTCAGTTGTAAGCACAGCTGGCATATGAACGGATTCTGTATGACTCTGCTGTGCATGTGCGCACGGGAGAGGCACAGGTCAAGAGGGAAGACAGTGTATGTCTATTACTCAGCTTTATGCATCTAATATCACAGGCAAATATGGACACCTGGAGACTATCAAACCCAAATTAGAAACTCATTGGAAGAAAAGGACAGTGTTTGCACAGATCACCCATAAATCTTCAATAACTAACTCTCCTTGGGCATAACATCAAATGTTCACTTTCTTTTTAGTGTCTCATTAGGAAGAAAATTTATTGCCCAACTATTGAACTATGTCAATTCTTTAAAAACATTGTGTGAATATTCCCAGGAACCACATGGTTGATTTTACATTAGCTTTCTGTCACTGAACAGGAAAAGGCTTTGTCTTTCCAATGATGAAATGACACTAATCATGAAATTAGAGGAGATAGCATGTACTCAGTGGGAAGCGACAGCAGTTTCCCATAAATGTATCATAGCCCTGGCTCCTTTTGATAAGTTGGAATGATGTCACTCCCTGCAGCCCAGACCAGGGCACACTCCACTTCCCCTGCTCTCCCCACCCCCAGCACCTCCTCCCCTATCTCACAGTGGGTCCAAAGGGAAGGCTTCAGAGGAACCGAATTCTTATGCTGGGGTGTGTTTTCCAGCTGTGCTTGCTCGCCTGCCTTGGTGGGAAGAGCCTGCAAAGGACCAGGAAGGAAAAGAAAAACGTTAAAGAAAAATCAATGAATTGCATATGGTGCCCGTTAAAAATAATAAATAGGCCAGAAGATGAAGGGCTGAGCTTACACATGTGAACCTGTCTCTGCCGGGACCCTGGCATCCAGAGCGAGCAGGAGGGGCTGCTTCCTGTTCGGATTGTCCTGCCTCAGACCAGAGCAGAGTGGCAAGAGCTTCTCTGAGCAGCTGGGAGAGAGAAGGGGCGGGGGTGGGAGCAGAGACTTGAGGGTTTACCTGGCCCTAGTCCCCGTCTTCTCTGCGGGCTCTTCTGACAGGAGACTATCTTGACCACAGGGCCTCCAGTCAAGGAAGAGGGAGACATGCGAGTGACTCTTTGGAGAATCAGAGGGGCGTGGGAGCAAGATTCTGTAACACTGAGACCCAAGCCTCCACTCACAGCTGGAAATGAGACTGGCTGAGTTTAGTTCATGGCCCAATGTATAGTCTTCTTCCCAGTTCTATTGTGTTGTCCACGTTGTCTGTCTGTCTGTCTGTCTGTCTATCTGTCCATCCATCTGAGACCCATAATACTCATATAGAACTAAGATGGAGAAGAGTCTCTTCAAGATGACTTGGATGATGCATATGGAATTAGCCGTGAGCCTCATTTCCCCTCCCACCTCAGATTTATATTTTAGGTCTTTAGTTAAGGGTTCCTTGGATGAGTGCCCCCTTTCCTTGCAAAAATCATCTGCCTCTCTCAATATGCTACTAATACTGATTTTCATTTTTCAATTAATATTTGAACATCTACTTGGTTAAAGAGGCTGAGAGGTACAAGAAAAGGATTTACATGCAAATAACCAGTATCTGAATAAGTAGATACTATTTTGAAATTAGATATGTGTTTAGTGTGTGTATGTGTGTGTTTACATATGTGTTTACGAATGTGCTTTTTAAATACTGTATTAGTTTTTCAAAATGCAGCAGAGCCTAAAATGACTCAAAATATGACTGCCCTGATAATCCCAGAGAATTTGTAAAAAATAAACTTTACACATGTACACAGTTGGAAAGTACTGAAAGGTGTGCTTATTTCTTATAAATTTAAGCATAGTTGGTTTACAATGTTGTGTTAATTTCTGGTGTACAGCATAGTGATTCAGTTATACACATATATATTCCTTTTCATATTCTTTTTCATTGTAGGCTGTTATAAGATATTGAATGTAGTTCCCTGTACTATACAGTAGGGCCTTGCCGTTTATCTGTTTTATATATAGTAGTTAGTATCTTCAGATTCTGATCTCCCAGTTTATCCTTCCACCCCTGATAACCACAAGTTTGCTTTCTATGTCCATGAGTTTGTTTCTGTTTTGTAAATAAGTTCATTTTTTTTAGATTCCACATGTAAATGATATCATATGGTATTTTTCTTTCTCTTTCTGGCTTTCTTCACTTAGTATGACAACCTCCAGGTCCATCCATGTGGCTGCAAATGGCATTATTTTATTCTTTTTTACGGCTGAGTAGTATTCCATTGCATGATATATGTGTGTGTGTGTGTGTGTGTGTGTGTATACATATAAAAGGTGTGCTTTTAAATGTCTTATCTATACATCCCCAAACTCAAATGCAAAATTCTGGCAAAACCTCAAAACTTGTTCCAGTTAAAAAACCCCAGAGTATTAGTTTCCCATGGCTGCCACAAAAAAGTATCACCAACTGGGTAGCATAAGATAAAAGATGTTTATTCTGTCACAGTTCTGGAGGCTTGAAGTCCAAGATCAAGGTGTTGGCAAGACCATGCTCCCTTTTTGAGCTTCTTCTTATGGTTACTGGCAATCCTTGGCTTCACTCCAGTCAGTGCCTCCGACATCACATGGTGTTATCCCTTTGTGTCTCTCTGAGCCTCTTCTCCTCTTCCTGTAAGGACACTGGTCATAGTCAATTAAAATTGATTCCAGTATGACCTCAACTTAACCTACATCTTCACTACATCTACAGAAACCCTCCTTCAGAATAAGGTCACATTCATACCTATGAGGGGTGAAGACACAGACATATCTTTCTGGGAGACACAATTTAACTCATACCAGTTAAGAATACTCAGTTTCTTCTTAGGGCTCGTGTTAAATTGTATACATAAAATTACCTAACATTTTATTGTTCCAGAATAATTAGCTGAAGAAAGGCCACCAACATGCTTCCCCGCGGGTTTTTCCCTACGTGACCAGGTAAGAGTAATAATCCAAATTTGGGGGGAGGTCTTTAAAGCCACTCTCTCCAACATGTTCCCTCCCATCTTCTAAGTGAACCTTGAGAACTCAGGCATGAGGGCTGCAAACAGCATTTTCACCACATGGGGGCAGATGTCGGATGGCACAACTGTGAACATTAAAAAAAAAATCCTATTCGGGTCAAAGCACTGGCGTTTCTGGCTGAGGCTGAGGAATCTCCTGCTTCTGTTTTCATCAGGGGAAAAGTGGGCAAAGGTGATTTGAGGGCTTTTTGTTCTACATGAATCTGTCTTGGGGAGAGCAGGAAGGCTATTGAACTACAAAATATATCTTGAAGCTCTTCATTTCTCTCCACTGCACTAGCTCGGACTGCCATCACCCAGGTCCATCCGCTCTCCACACAGCAGCCAGCCCTTAAAAGCCTCAATCGAATCATGTTCCTTTCTTGTTTAGACTTTCTATGAGTCTCGCCTCCTCCCATTGTGTCCAGAGTGAAATCCCAAAAGCGTGGTCTGCGTGCTTCTTTTCTACAGTTGCACAGACCTCTGGGAGTTGAGTTGACTCTTTCGGCCTGTCTTGGTTATACACCTACTGCTAAACCAGTCCCCAGGGCCAGGGGAGACATGACCTTCTAAAAGCCGGGGTCCTAGAGTGGGAGACGGGCTTAGCACCACCCAGGTCACCTGCACCGATGTGTGGGAGTCCTGGGACCTCACAGACACCAATGAGCAGAGCCTAGAAGAGAGGAGGTGAGAAGGCTGACAACACCCTGTGACAAAGGGCCATCACGCGCCCCTCTTCTACTGGGAAGTCCTCTGGCAGAGATCTGGTAGGACCGGGCCAGATGCAGCAGCCCCAGGTCTACAGGGAGGGGGCTGGCCATAAAAGAAAGGAGAGGGGCATGTTTACTGAGGAGTACAGCACAAGCAAGGCGTCGGAAGAGGGTAAGGAAGGAAAGGACCATTTAGAAGCCAGGGGAGTGGTGTTACTCCATTTTCCTGGAGATGCTACAGAGTTCTGGGAAGGTCACTTCCGGGGTCACTCAGATGGGATGCTAGGGCTAGAGTCCAGAGAACCAGTGGGTGGAGACCTCCTGCCCTCCTTTCTGCCTGAGTCATTGTATTTACTTTTGGGGGGGGCGGGGTGAGAGAAGGGCAGATAGTTGTATGAGTGGGGAAAAAAAAAGAAAGACTCTGCACTCAGAAGGATCATTGCTTTTCTGTTTGGACCCAGAGTACACTGATCTGATGGCGGAGTGGGTGGGGTGGGGTCTGCACAGGGCTGTGGCAGAGAAACGCCGCGTTCCTGGCTGGAGGTGCTTCTGTTGGTGCAGCAGCCGGCTTGCGTGGCTCGGATTTTCCTTTAGAGATTTCTTTGTCATGATTAAAGTTTATACTCACAGGGTCATAGGCTGAGTAAATATTTTCCTAGGCAAACCTGTAACTTATTGAAACTGAACATGCATGTGATAATGCTTTCGTGTTGGCAGTAGGGCTTTTGGTGAAGGAATCAAGAAGAAGGTGTATACAGAACAACTTGTGAGGATTTGCCGGGGGGAAAGGGGTTGCCTGCTCTGCTCCAAGGGTGGCTGTGGACCCATACACTCAGGAAATCAGACCTGGAACAGCCCCAGCATGGACCTGGGTCTGTCCCTCGGGTCGTCATCTGCGCCTCTCTCCTCCTGAGCTGAGCCAGCGTAAGTGACCTGCGTAAAGAACTGCCTGGGGGCCATGCTTCAGCATAGGGTCACGTCCCAGAGGGCACGTCCATGTGACAGTCACAAAGCGTTAAAACTTCATCTAAATTTTTACCAAAGTCAGTGCAATCAAAATAGAAACATGTTGCACAATTCATAGCAAAATGACTCCAAATATCTCTCCATTCTTCCAAATGTCTCTGAGCCTTAGTTTTCTCATCTGAAAAATCTAGAGTATAATCTTGTCCACTTTGTAGGATTTTGGAGAGCACTGACTGCCAGGCATATATTAGCCATCATCCAGTGCAAAGTGGGACCCTCACTATCCCTTAAAACTCCCTTAGGCTTAAGAATGAATCCTGTAAAAATGGCACAATGCCCAACACACGCATGAATTCTGAACACCAGCCGTTCTCCGCTGGCTTCCTCTTGGCTGACACAGCCTCTTTCACACAGAAGTCTGACTGCAGTCAGAGCTCCAGGGGAAAGCAGTTTGCAGAGAGCAAGCTGGGGAGAGGCAGGCTCAGAGGGTTTCCACTTAGGGTGCTCAGAAAAATGACCATCTCCAGCTCGATCTAAAGCCTTCGATGGAAGGGGCAGCATAGTTGGGAGAAGCCAGGAGTTTCCATGGGATAGCCCAGGAAGTTCTAAGCACTGTTATAATAATAATGATATTAATCATGTGGCTTTCTCAGTATGGCCACTCCAGCCCCCTTCCCCTTGCCTTTCTCTACGAGAAAGGTGGGGAAATGGAAAACTCACCTCCTCGGCTCTTAGCTAGGAATGGCCATGTGACATGATCTGGCCAATCAAATGGAAGTAAAGGGCCCTGGGAACTTCTAGGAAGATTTTCATTTCCTTTCTGCTTTTCCCTTCCGTCTTTCCCTCAGAAATGCAGACAGGATAACTGAAGCTGTAATAGCCATTTGAGGGTCATGAGTAAAAATTTAAGAGAATCACAGAGACTTCATCCTGACATCTTAGAACCTGTTGAACCAAGATCAGCAGAAGTTTACTGGACTTCTTGTTGTATGAGGGGGAAAAAAAGCAACCTCTTAAGTGTTTCAGCCATGTATCAGTTAGGGTACAGTCTAACCTCCTGTGACAAAGACACCCTGAAAACCATTAGCTCAAAGCAGATTGTTCCTTCTCTCTCTAGCAGTTCAGAGGTGAGAGGTACAGGGAAGGCTAACTTCTCTCCATGAGGTCACCCAGGGTCCCAGGGTTGTGGCTTTACTATTTCCTGGATTGTTACTCTCCACGCCATGTTCAAGGTGGGCTTAATAGAATCATGCCTGCATTCCAGTTCCTTAGGAAGGGGCAAAAAGGACTGGAAGTCAAGCAGTCTCCTTTTGTAAAGGGCACGACCCAGAAGTTGTATGTCACTGCTGCTTATGTCCCATTGGCCAGACTGTAGGCACATGGCCTTGCCTAGCTGCAAGGGAAGCTGGTATTATTAAAAGGAAAAAGGGGAGAATAGGTATCGGGTGGCCATTTGCCATATTGATTGCATTTTTTGTTTTAGCTAAATGCATTCTCTAATCAGAGCATTAATTATAACAATAAAATCATTAAACTTATTAAGCCCCTATTATACAGCAGGTCCTATTTTAAGTGCTTTGCATTCAATGCCCCATTTATTCATGATTTCTAAGAGTGGGTAGTTTTAGTGGATAATCATTCCAGGATTTTTCTTTAGAGCTGGATTCCTGGAAATCAGAGGAAGGATTTAGTGATGGTTCGTTATGACCTAAGCTCAAGTAGGAATTCTCCTGAGTGTTATGAACATGGAGACCGAGGGTAATGTTATTTTAGATCTGGTTAAATTATAAGGCCATGTGAGTCACAAAAGGTGCTTAGAACCACCTAAGAAAAATGCTGAATTCAGATAAAGGAAAGACGATGTTGGGAGTCATGAGTGGCTTTCAGACAGCAGTTGACATAAAACAGGGGCTGGCCGACTATAGCTCGTGGGCCAAATGGCACCCACCACCTGTTTTGTAATCAGAATTTCACCAGAACACAGCCTCACCCATTTGTTTATGTATTGTCTTTCATGCTGTGATGGCCAAGTTGAG